ACAAAAGACCTGTATGCAGAAAACTATGCAACATTGAAAAAAGAAATTAAGGAAGACACAAATAAATGGAAGCATATACCGTGCGCATGGATTGGAAGAATTAATATCCTTAAAATGTCCATACTACCAAAAGCAATTTATAGATTCAACGCAATCCCTATTAAGATACCAATGACGTATTTCACAGAAATAGAACAGACATTTCAAAAATTTATATGGAACCATAAACGACCTCGAATAGCCGCAGCAATTTTGAGAAAGAAACACAAAGTAGGAGGGATCACAATACCGGACATCAAACTCTACTACAAAGCCACTATACTCAAAACAATCTGGTACTGGCACAAGAACAGACCCATAGACCAGTGGAACAGAATAGAAAGCCCAGAAATAAGCCCAGGTCTCTATGGACATCTAATATTCGACAAAGGGGGCAGAAGCATAAAATGGGGCAATAACAGCCTCTTCAACAAATGGTGTTGGGAGAGCTGGATGGCTACATGCAAAAAATTGAAATTGGATCCTCAGCTGACACCATACACAAAAATAAACTCAAGATGGATAAAAGACTTAAATATAAGTCGCAACACCATCAAAGTCCTAGAGGAGAACATTGGCAGGAAACTCTCAGATGTCCCACGCAGCAATTTTTTCACTGATATGTCTCCTAAAGCAAGGGACATAAAGGAAAGAATAAACAAGTGGGACCTCATCAAAATAAGAAGCTTCTGCACGGCTAAAGAAAACATCAGCAAAATGAAAAGGGAGCCAACCATTTGGGAAAATATATTTGCTAATGATACATCAGATAGAGGTTTGATCTCCAAGATATACAAAGAACTCACTCGACTTTACTCCAAGAAGACAAACGATCCAATCAAAAAATGGGCAAAGGACCTGGGCAGATGCTTTTCTAAGGAGGAGACACAGAGGGCCCAGAGGCATTTGAAAGGATGCTCTGCATCACTAGCCATCAGAGAAATGCAGATCAAAACCACCATGAGGTACCACCTCACACCGGTGAGAATGGCCATCATAAACAGATCCACAAACAACAGGTGCTGGCGAGGCTGTGGAGAAAAGGGAACCCTAGTCCACTGTTGGTGGGAATGCAGACTGGTGCAGCCACTATGGAAAGCAGTGTGGAATTTCCTCCAAAAGCTGAAAATGGAACTGCCTTTTGATCCAGTGATTCCCCTGCTGGGACTATACCCTGAGAACACCAAAACGCCAATACAAAAGAACCTATGCACCCCAATGTTCATAGCAGCACAATTTACAATAGCCAAGTGTTGGAAGCAACCTAAATGCCCATCCGTAGATGACTGGATCAAAAAATTATGGTACATATACAAAATGGAATACTACGCAGCAGAAAGAAAAAAAGAAGTACTAAACTTTGCGACAGCATGGATGGAACTGGAGAGCATCATGCTAAGCGAAATAAGCCAGGGGGTGAAAGACAAATACCATATGATCTCACCTATAAGCGGAACCTAACCAACAATGCAAAGAAGCAAGGAAAATACGACCAGCAACACTGAAAGGAAAAGAAATCAACAGAGACAAGAGGGAAGGGGGGGGGCAGGGAAAGGGTAGGGAAGGGGAAAGTCAAGGAACATATAGCAAGGACTCATGGACAAAACCAAAGGGGAAGAGCTGAGGGAGGGAAGGAGGGAGGGGGCAAGGGAAAGTGGTGGGGGGAAGGCAGAGACAAATGTATTTAAAAAGTAAATAAATTAATTAAAAAAAAAAAAAAGACATGACAAAGAAAGAAAACTACAGGCCAATATCGCTGATGAACATAGATGCTAACATCCTCAACAAAATATTGGCAAACAGCATCCAGCAATTCATTAAAATTATCATCCACCATAATCAAGTGAGATTCATTCCAGGAATGCAAGGATGGTTCTATATTCACAAATCAATAAATGTAATACATCACATAAACAAAAGGAAAAACAAAAATCACATGATCATATCAATAGATGTGGAAAAAGCACTTGATAAGATACAGAACCCATTTATGATAAAAACACTCAGCAAAGTGGGAGTAAAGGGGGCATACCTCAAAATAATAAAGGCCATATGTGAAAAATATACAGCCAACATCATACTCAATAGGCAAAAACTAAGAGCTTTCCCACTAAGATCGGGAACAAGACAAGGATGTCTGCTTTCACTACTTCTATTCAACGTAGTATTGGTAGTCCTAGCAACAGCAACCAGACAAAAAACAAACAAACAAGAAAAACAAATAAAAGGCATCCAAATTGTAAGGGAGGAAGTAAAACTTACATTGTTTGCAGGTCACATGATAATGTACATAGAAAATCCTATAGACTCCACCAAAAAACTACTCAACCTAATAAACAAAGTTGGCAAAACGGTGGGATATAAAGTTAATATTCAGAAATTGGAGGCATTTCTGTATACCAACAATGAAATATCAGAATCAGAGATCAGGAAAAAAATCCCATTTTCTATAGCAATAAGAAAAATAAAGTACCTAGGAATAAACTTAACCAAGGAGGTAAAAGACCTGTACTCAGAAAACTATACAGCACTGAAGAAAGAAATTAAGGAAGACACAAATAAATGGAAGCATATACTGTGTCCATGGATTGGAAGAATTAACATCATCAAAATGTCCATACTACACAAAGCAATTTATACATTCAACATAATCCCTATTAAAATACCAATGACGTACTAAACAAATATAGAAGAAACATTTAAAAAATTTATATGGAACCATAAATGACCCCAAACTGTAGCAATTTTGAGAAAGTAGAACAAAGTAATAGGGATCACAATATCTGACATCAAACTATATTACAAGGCCACTGTTATCAAAACAGTCTGGTACTGGCATAAGAACAGGCACATGGATCAACTGGACAGAATAGAGAGTCCAGAAGTAAACCCATGTCTCTATGATCAATTAATATTTGACAAAGGGATCAGAAGCATAAAATGGAGAAAAAATAACCTCTTGAACAAATGGTGTTGGGAGAACTGGACAGTTACATGCACAAAAATGAAACTTGACCACCATTTTACATCATACACAAAAATAAACTCAAGATGGATAAAAGACTTAAATATAATTTGCAACACCACAAAAGTTCTAGAAGAGAACATAGGCAGGAAACTCTTAGACATTCCATGCAGCAATATTTTTACCAATATGTCCCCCAGAGCAAGGCAAGGAAAGAAAAGACAAATGGGACTTCATCAAGGTAAGAAGTTTCTGCACAGCTAAAGAAAACATCAGCAAAATGGAAAGAGAACCAACCGTATGGAAAAATATAATTGCCATTGATACCTCAGACAAGGGTTTGATCTTCAAAATATATAAAGAACTCACACAACTCCACTCCTGGAAGACAAACAATCCAATTAAAAAATGGGCAAAGGACCTGAACAGACACTTCTCCAAGGATATGCAGAGGGCCCAGAGACATATGAAAGGATGCTCAGCATCACTAGCCATCAGAGAGGTGCAAATTAAAACAACAATGAGATATCACTTAACATCAGTCACGATGGCCATTATAAACAAATCAACAAACAACTAGTGCTGGTGAGGTTGTGGAGAAAAGGGAACTCTAGTACACTGTTAGTGGGAATGCAGACTGGTGCAGCCAGTGTGGAAAACAGTTTGGAATTTCCTCAAAAAGCTAAAAATGGAACTGCCTTTTGACCCAGCAATTCCACTGCTGTGATTAGAATCCCGAAGTGCTAAGAATCCCAAAACACCAATTCAAAAGAACCTATGCACCCCAATATTCATAGCAACACAATTTACAATAGCCAAGTGCTGGAAGCAACCTAAGTGCGCATCAACAAATGGGTGGATCAAAAAACTATGGAGCATTTACACAATGGAATACTACGCAGTAGAAGACAGAAAGAGTTACTACTCTTTGCAACAGCATGGATGGAACTGGAGAGCATTATGCTAAGCTAAATAAGCCAGGTGGTGAAAGACAAATACCATATGGTCTCACCTATAAGTGGAACCTAATCAACAAAACAAATAAGCAAGAAAAAATATAACCAGCAACAATAAAAGAAAAAACAAACCGACAGTAATCAGAGGGGAGGAGTGAGGAGGGTAACGGAGAAAAGAAGGAGAAAGATCAAGTCAAGGAACATGTATAAAGGACTCATGGACAAAGCCAAAGTGGGGAAGGATTGAGGGTGGGAGTTGGAGATGGGTAGTGCAGGGGAGAGTGGTGGCGGGAATACAGAGACAAATGTATTTGAACAATAAAAAATTAATTAATAAAAATATTAAAATGAAAAAATTAAAAAATAAACTGACAGCAACTATAGGGGAGGAGGGAGAGTGATAATGGGGAAAACAAGGGGAAGCACCAAGTCAAGGAATATGTATAAAAGACCCATAGACAAAGACAACAGGGGTGAGGATTGAATGTGGGAGGTGGGGGTGGGTAGGGCAGGGGAGAGTAATGGGGGGGAAATGGGGAAAACTGTAATTGAACAACAATAAAAACATTAAAAAAATTGAACCTTGAATGGAATTTCAATTTTTTCTCTTTGGTAGGTCTGTGCTACACACACCAGTGGCACAGAGTTTAGGGTGTACCTTAACAGCTGGTAGGGTGGAGGCAGAGAGACTTGCCCTGGGGAGACAGGTGGCCTTCTATCAACCCCCAAAGCTGTGTGGGGAGAGGAAATGGTGAATGGATGACTTTGAGAAGGGAAGTAGCGCATTCTGTCCCCATAGATAGATTGTGGGAGGTTCATTTGTTCTGGGGAAAGAAAAGACCCCATATTCCGGGAGGAGCTCAGGCTCAGTCCTGGATACATTTGCAGAATGATGTTTATAACATGAGAAATTGATTTTTTGCACTCTAGACATGGACATTTATTAAGGCTCTGGCAACCCCACTGGAGTTGGCTTCCATCATAAAAAACAGTCACCTGCTACCTAGACTCCAGTACCCGCGAGTCTCAGTAGGGGAGTCTCAGTGTGATCCCATAGGTTCAAATTGTCTCAGTGTATTATTTATCCAGGGCAGAAAGCGAGCAATTCTGGTGAAGACTGTTGGAGGAGCCCCAGTGCTTCTTCCATAGGAAACAATGCCCTGAGCCACATTGTTACACACAAGGGGGCCACCGGTGTCTCCCTGTAGGTGATGAGAGAAAGAAACACTAAGCCAGGCCTTGGCACTCTGCACCTCCCCATTCTTTTTGTCCTAAGGCCTGGCCCTCTCTGTGAAATGGGAAGGTGATGCGAGTGTAGAAGTCAAGCTCTAGCATCGTTTATTTTGTTGTCTTCAACCCTGGCTGTGGGTACTGTCTCTAACTCAACCTTCCCCTTTCCCATGGAAACACTGCATATGCATGCTGAGTGTTGGGCACTCCTCCCCTCGTCAGAGACTGGATTGATGGGTGAAAGCCCCCACTTTGCTCTGGTCTGGCCCCCAGGCTGAGACCATGGAGATGTAGTCTGTTCCCACTGTCCAGCTCTGCCCAGACCCCTCTGTCTCAGGTAGTGTGGCAGATGCCTGTGGCCTTACCCGGAATGTGGTCTTCTCATCGGTCTGGTTCCCCACACAAATCTGCCTTTGGTCGTTGTAGTCATCAAAGAGATTGCTGCACACCTGACCCCTCTGCACCCTCAGCTGCACATCATGGAGTGTGTCTGTTCGCCAGTTCTCGCTGATCAGGCCCCAGCCAGCCACAGTGCACTGGGACCCAGGTCTCAGCCTGGTCCGAGACTGAGGCAGAGCCACTGGCCTCACGAATCGATTCTGTCTGGCTCTATTTTGCAGCTGTCAGGAAGAGTGTGGGCACTCAGAGGAAGTCTCTGCAGCACTCCACCCACCACCCCTTCTCCATGGTCCCAGAACAAGGTGAAGCCCCGACCTGGAAAGGAGTCAGCTCAGGTGGACAACCAAGGGGTCAAACAAGTGGTACCTGCAGTAACATGATGTCATTCAGGTTGTTCTGCTCATTATACCCAGGGTGGCGGATGGCTCTGAGCACAGACAGGCGCTGCTGGGTGCTTTCAAAATCCCTGATGTTGTGGGCCCCCAGGGTGACTCTTATAGTGCTGCAAAGGAATGAGATCTAGAGGTAGATATGAGCCAGATGAGGTAAAATTCATCAGGTCTGCAGGGTGGGTGCAGAGCCCAGGACAGCAAGACAGCAGCTGAGGGAAGTAAGGGGACAGGAGGGCTCGGGGACAGTGATCTCTGTGCCGTCTGCTTAAGTGACCCTAGTTTTGTTTCCTCTAGAAAAAATTGAGAAATAGCTTGAATTCGTCCTTTGAGCACTAATGTATGCCTTTCATTTCCTCCTTTTGTCCTCATTTACACTGGCCTGGTCCCTGCTCTGAAAGACTTATCTAGTCTCTCTTCACCCCTTCATTGCTGGAACCATACTTTGAGGAGAATGCTCTCATGAATACTTCTGGACCTGCCTTATTGACCGCCTTTAGTTTCTTAATTCCTCACCTTCCCCAGCAGTGAGCTGCCGTCATCACAAAGTCGTCTTGCACCAGGAACCCCCCACAAAAGCTCTGACGTGGTGGTGTTTCAACGAGAAGATATGCCATGTAGGGGTGGGAGTGGGGTATGGCCTCTCGGCCCCCGATGATCTCCGCTAGAAAGAAGTATTCAGCAGTCATTACCGTGCTCACTGAACTCACAGCTTGGTGGCTCCAGAAAGGCTAGAAGATAGGGAGGCTACAGAGATGACGCAGGGAGGGGAGGATTGGTGTTGAGAATTGGGGTGTGCAAGGTACCACGTTATGGGAGAGGACTCCAGGGTTCCGCAGGGAACAGTGCTGGCTCCCCAGCCCAGGCCCCTAATCTACCCCAAAGGAGAACAACCCTTGCTGCAGGCAACGCCAGCTTAAGCCTCTCACATATGGAGACGTCTCTTTTCGGATCCAGAGCCTTCTTGAGTTGCTTCTACCTAAACTTCCTTTTTCAAGGAGCTTCCATTTCCCTGTTTGACCAACTCATGACCAGAGCATGAGCAGCATGGACTGTTTTTAAGACCTAGACATGAGTTGATGGGACTGTTATTGCTGTCTCCTTGTCTCCTAGGTTTTGATACACGGGCTGCAGAATGAACTCAAAGAGCAGAGTTACAGAGCACATACTGCATGCCAGGGGCCAATCCAAGAGTTTCATGTACATTAACTAATGTAACTGTCATAGCAACTCTATGGCGTAGGTGTTGTTATTATTTCTATTTACAGATGAGGAACCTGAGAAGTGTGAATTCAAATGATGTACCCAACGACATAGAGTTTGGAAGTGACCAGGCAGCCTGTGTCCAGAGTCTGTGGGATGGGGTTGGGCCTCTGAAGGTTTGGCCGGTCACTTACCTGCTCTGGCCGCAGGGGGCAGGAGAAGGGCCACCAGGACGAGGAGGAGCTGCATCTCCCAGGGAAGGCTGCCAGGTCCGGCCGTTGCTGCTGGGGTTTCCTCGTGGCAGACTTTTAGCCCCCCGAGAGAGGAAGGAAGGGTGGGGTGGGGACTAGGGGGTTCGCAGTCCCATTCTTCACTGGGTGTGATAGGTTTCATCACCCCTGGCTGGCCAGGAGGCTGGCCCACCAACTGCCAGTGGCCTGGGCAAAGAGCGAGCGATCCAAGCCCACAGCGCGTCTCCCTCAGCTGCTGAGTCAGTGCTGTCCGGGGAAGTGGGAACCAGGGCGCAAGGAGAGGAGCTTTGGGGCTGGTGTTTCAGAAGCCCAAACCCACGCAATTCAAGATTGTGTCAACAAGGCATGAACGCTGCTAGCTCCCCACAGCTTCCATTTTTTATTGCTCGGCGATAGAAGCCTGCCCGTGCTCAGTGTTTGGGCCCTGGATACCTGCCAAAACCCTGGCTGTTCCCGCCTCTTTCTAGAAGCTTTCTGCAGGCAGGTTGAGTAGGTCTCGCTCCTGAACGAGCGAAGGCGCTGAGAGAGAAGGAAAATGGGAGAACATGGTTATTCCTCTGATGGTGACTTCCTGAGGTCACTTGATCCCAGGGAAGCTTGCACTACAAGTTATCACACGGTTGTGGACTTCTATATGCCTGCTGCATACTCAGGATGAAGTCCCTTGTGTCGCAGAAGGTTCCTGCAAGCAGAAAAGGCCTTGTGAGTTGATTTTGTGGAGACTGTCATAGCCCGGCTGGAAAATGTATAAGCTCCCATTTCATCCAGGATTTAAGAGACCTGTCAGCCAAATCCCCTTTCTCTGCCCAGGGTGGAGGGAACTGGAACTATTCATTCATTATTGATAGTAAGACCAGGCAGAACACTGCACAATCACACAGTGGGTTGTGAGACACACTTAAATCTATTTGGAACACTTGTGTATACTCGGGAAGACATTATAAGCGTGCATAATGTTTGCAAAGCTATATCAGAATTGAAAAGTAATGCAATTCTTAAACTTTTAAGGCTCGTGATAAGCCCCCTTGAAAATCTTGTGTAAGTTAAAATCCTCTCCTTATATATAAATATACACATGCTTTCACTTGTTTTTAAACTGGTAAGAAATTCAATCCCTCCTCTAATACTTGCTCTATGACTGCAGCATCATGGAATTTTTTAAAACATCTCAGAAGCGATATGCAGAAAATAGAGTAGAAAGATAAAATACTGTAATAGATTTATTGGTGCCTTATTTCCAGTAATTTTAATTTATTGCTACTTCGTTTTTCTCAACACTTAATTTTGTTTTAAAAACGTTAGTCTAACTTAAAAACAGAAGGATAAAGAGAGCTTTCACCTGTGAAAGAGGGGAGTCAAGCCTATGCGCCCAATGATCTGAATAGAGAAGTGGGGCGGTGATTTCACTAACAGCGACCTAGGATTGCATGCCACCTTCCCACTACACACAGCAGAAAACAAAGCCGTTTAAGTGTCTGAAAACCCTCAGAGCCTTAAATAACTGCCACTACAGGAGTGATTATCAGGCCAAAACTGAAAGGACAATGGGAGTCCAGCTAGGAAGCTACTTCACTGAGGGCACTGCTGAACCCAGAAAACTGGAGCCCCTGGTTTGATGACCAAATAAAGCAATAACAGGAGAAAACAAAACGAAATTCACCCAAGGTCCACTTAGAGCCGGTCCCTACAGGAAGCTGGGCCCTGAAAAGTCAGCACCCTCAAATGAACAAAGAAAAGTAAGGGCCTAGTCCTTGCAAGCAATTCATGAAGGATCTGAAGTAGTTGAACTTTTCATGGAATCTGAGACCTTAAACTTGCACTATCGTGAGTATGGATGTGTCCCTAAGGAGCTGGCAGAATCCGAGGCAATTCCAGGGGAAATTCACTTAAGTCCAGATTTGAATCACACCTAAAAATTATTTTTCTGGTGTTCTGTTCTCTTTCTTTGTTTGGTCCATATTTCTCTGTGTCATGATTTTGGCAGCCCTCTTGTGTCTGTGGGCTTGTGTACTAGGAGATGGGGAAGCCAAAGTAAAAAAAATAAAAATTATATTTGTTTATAATAACAATTAAATTGTCGAAGGTAAACAAGATTAACAAGCAAAGGAAAAAAATGACACCATGAGTAAGAAACCATGGGATATATTATAGGGATGATGTCACATGTATTACAAAACAAGTATGATGGAATAAAAAGAATGTTTAAAAGGGCTGCAGGGAAGATGACATTTTAAAACGAGACATACCAGGCTTCCAGTCAAGATGGCGGTATAGGTAGACACACCTTACCTATTTGCATTACCATACGAAGGAACACAACTGACTTAAACATGAAAAACACCCAGAACTGCCAGAAAATCACCTAGCAAAACACCCAGGACTGTACGTTAAGTCTGACAACCAAGGAATTAAAGAAGCTATATTCATCCAGACGGGTAGGAGGGGTGGAGACGGGGAGTCGGGGCGGAGACTGGGTATCAGGGTAGAGAGGACTTGGTGTGGTGGTGGTGGGCCAGAAGCTGAGAGGCGGCCAGTCAGTGGCAACCAGGCAATGGCGGCTGGTGGAACAGGGAGCCCCACATTCATGTGTGGTGGATAAAAATCAGGGAGACACCTTGTGAGCCTGGGATAAGCCTTTGAGCAAGCGAGCCCAGTACTACGCTCCACCATGAGCCCATAGCTCCAGCTCCAGGAAAAGGAAAGCCTTAACTTCTGGCTGTCAACCCTGTGGGTGTTGGGGCATCAGAAGAAACTGCTAGTCTCTCAGGAGGTCCCAGAACATTCGTATATCCGCCTACCCTGGGAACCACAACCGGAACAGTTGCTGGACGGGCGCAAGTCACTCACGGAAAGTGGGTGAAGTGACTGGAAATGGGGCAAGGGACAGGAAAGTTCCCAGAGGTCAGCAAACAGTGGCATTGTCACCTCTTTGACCCCTCCCCCAAACGTGGAGCCATGGTTACCAAGTCCTGGCAAGAACCCGACGCTCGGCCCCATACAACGTCACAGGTGCACTAAAACGTAATCAAAGCAGCTGTACCTAGTACACAGACAGAAGGAGCCTGCCAAAATCATGAGACAAAGAAATACGGACCAAACGAAGAAAGAGAACAGAAGCCCAGAAATAGAACTAAGCGATGGTGAGATAGCCAACCTATCAGATGCAGAGTTCAAAACACCGGTGGTCAGAATGCTCAAAGATCTCACCGAATACAGCAAAAGCATAAGGAAAGAATGAAGGGTTTACTGAGGGGTATAAAGGAAAATTCATAAGAAACAAACAGTGATGGATGGAATCCAGGACTCAAATCAATGATTTGGAACGTAAGGAAGAAATAAACATTCAACGAGGACAAAATGAAGAAACAAGAATTCAAAAGAAATGAGCAGAGTTGAAGAAGACTCTGGGACATCGCCAAACGCACCGACATCAGAATCATAGGGATTTCAGAAGGAGAAGCGGAAGAGCAAGAAATTGAAAACTTTATCGGAAAGAACTCTTCCCTAAGTTGGTGAAGGAAATAGACATACAAGCACAGGAAGCAGAGAAAGTCCCAAACAAGTTGGGCCCAAAGAGGGCCACACCAAGGCACATCATAATTAAAATGTCAAAGATTACAGATAAAGAGAGAATCCTAAAAGCAGCAAGAGAAAGCCAGAGAGTTTCATCCAAAGGAGTTCCCATTAGACTATCAGCTGATTTCTCAAAAGAAACTTTACAGGCAAGAAGGGACTGGCAAGAATTATGCAAAGTGATGAATACCAAGGGCCTACAACCAAGACTACTGTATCCGGCAAAGCTGTCATTTTGAACTGAAGGACATAAAGTGCTTCCCAGACAAGGTAAGCTAAAGGAGTTCGTTACCACCAAGCCCTTATTATATGAAATGTTAAAGGGATTTATGTAGGAAAAAGAAGATCAAAACTATGAACATTAAAATGACAACAAACTAACAACTATCAACAAGTGATTCTGAAAAACAAAACCACACTCAACTAAGCAAATGACTAGAACAGGATTAGAATCATAGATATGGAGATCATTTGGAGGGTTATCGGGGTGGGAGGTAAGGGAAGGCAGAGATTGGGGGAAATGGGGCAGGGTTAAGAAGCATAAATTGAAAGGTACAAAAATAGGGCTATTCACGCTATTCATGTCTATATATTTTGCAACAAATTTTTTTTGTAGCCTATTTGCCAGACGGTGTGGACTAGAGAGCACATTTGGACAAATAGGGGAACATGAGAGTTGTTAGGTCATGCAAGTTTTTAACGCTTTTATTTTCAATTTTAATAAAAAGTTTAATATTTGTTCTAATAAGACAACGGTATGTTTCACAATATCCATAGCTGGTTACATCTGCTTTGGACCGCTTTATTACATATCCGTCAGTTACAGCTCTTTGCTCCTCTGGGATATTGGGACACAGAAGCAGGCCGTTTGCCACCTCTTCCCTGGGCCCCATAAGCCACCAACGATGCAGCTGCTCTGGGCAGGCAGCTGCCAAGCCCGTGCTGAGCCACTTCCCCCTTTCATGCTGCTGGAGTCAGTCACCAGTCCAGTTGCTCTTGGCTCTGTGGGAAGCCACGTACTACTGAGGGGTCCAGGACATCTTCAGGCAGCTTTAATGTCACTCTTCGAAGGACTTTTGGAAGCTCCTTGGGAAGTCTGTCTCTACTGATAAGTTTGTGATTACTTCATGGAGCGTCAGTACTGGGAGAAGGCTGTGCCAGCGCCACTGAGACACTATCTTGCCAAGAACTGGCCTGTGCTGTCTTCCTGGTAGGGAGGAGCAGGTGGCAAAGGGAGTTGAGTGGGATCTGCGTACAACCTTGCCATCAGCGCACTTAGGGGGAAAGAGGGAACTGCAAACTCTGGAGGTGGCAGAGGAAGACTTAACAAAAGGTTCAAGGCCCTCAGTGTTCCTGGCAGAAAAGTTTCCTTTTGAGACCGAGCAGCTGACCCTGGGGCCCTGGGTAAATGTGAGAAAGAGGTGGAGGTGGACACATTCCCTGAGACTTCCTTCCAAAGATGCTCAGATTACCGAAACACTCAACAGTAGGAGATGGTGACAGAAGTCATGAGGTATTCATGGGATGAAATGTCATCCAGCTACTTAAAAACATCAAGTTTTAGAAGGC